ATATATATTAATTATAAGATTATATAATAAAAAGAATTATTTATTTATAATTTAATAATTATAAATTTATTAGAAAAATTATATTATAATACTATATTAGAACACTGAGCAATATATAAATAGGCTAGAGATTATTAAAAAAGAAGATTTTAAAAGAAATTCAATAAACATTATATTTTCACATAGTAAATTTTTCAAATTTTAATCAAAAATAAGCATTTTAAGCAAATTTAACATAAAAATAAGTATACTTAAAGCTAACCTATCTATGTATTACTCTGAGTTCTACTATATTATATAATTTTTAATATATAATATTATTATTTACTTTAATAATTATTATATAATAAAATATTATATAATATAGGTATTATAAATATCTTATTTATTAATTTTTATTTAACTTTTGCCATTCCTTTAAACACATACATGCTCTAATTGTTGTAGGATTTAAATTACATCTTCGAGTAGTAATTAATTCTTTAGCAGCTGAAAATGCTCTTTCTACAGAAACACTTGTAGCTAAATATTAAAATTGAAATTTTAAAATAATTATATTTATAAATTAATAAAATATAAAATATTATACCTTGAACTGATAAATAATCTTTTGCCATTTTAGCTAAATATGGCATTTCAAATTCATGATTCTACATTTTAAATATTATTTTAAAAAATATTAATATTATTTATAAAATTAATTTAAAAATTATTATTTACCTTTCACCATAATAAAATATCATCATATACAAATGGATCTATAGTTAAATTTCTTAAATATATATCCAATTCATCAGAATATACAGTTTTACGTTTTTTAAAAATATTTGCTACTTTTTTTTGTTGAATATTTTCTAAAATAGAATTTTGAGTTGGTTGGTATTCAGATTTTCATAATTCTTCAATTCGTTTTTTATAATTTTCAATATAATCATCAAATTCATTTTCTTCATAATATTCTAATTTAAGTCTAGGATCTAAAACTAATAAATATAAAATTTATTAATAAAAATAAATATACAACAAAAAATAAATAAATTAATATATAATACATACTTGTTCCAATAATATAAACTAAACCTTTAGCATCAGAATAGTATTTTTCTAATTTGGCTTGAGCTTTTTTAGCTGCATCTTTAATAATTATATTAGAACAATTTTTGATATAATTATCTAAATCATCAAGTAAAGAACTATAAAATGGAACAACTAATCTAATAGTTGAGTATTTGCAACCACTAATATCATTAGTTGCTTGTTCAAAATTCTAAATTATAAAAAAATTAATATAAATTTTAATATATACAAATTTTAAAATATATATTTTTTAAATACTTCTAATAAATCTTGAATTATTGCAATTTGATTCCATTCTTCTTCAGATAAAGAATATTTTTCTATTTCTTTATCAAGTTTTATCATTATATCAAGTGGCTAATAAAAAAATAATTTATTAATAATAAATTTTTTAATAAATTTAAAATTTTACTTACTTCTTTTAGTTTAAGTGCTCTTTTTAATATATAATATGTTGAATTCCATCTTGTTTTAACATCAAGAAGTAATTCAAAATTATTAGAATTATATTGAAAAAATTTTTCTCTTCGTTGTGGTGATGAATAAATTATTGTAATAATTTTTCTAAGCTTTTAATAATAATTATATATTAATATAGTAAATATAATTTTATATAATATTTTATAAATATTAAATTTATTTACTTACTTTTTTTACTGTAGATGTAATATCTTCATTATCATCAAAAATTTTATTTTCCTCTGGTCCTTCAGCTTTAAGATTTTTTAAAAAATCTTGAGCTGCCAAATTAATAATATGTGCTAAACATCGTACTCTTTGATTATTTATTTCAAAATTAATTTCATCATAAGCACAATCATTAGCAAAATATTGAAACATTGTATTGTTATTAGCTGCATTATCAGTAGTAATTGCTAAAATCTATATTATAAAATAATAATTTATTAATAATTAAATATTTATTATACAGTATA